ACACACACACACACACACACACACACACACACACACACACACACACACACATAGGGTAGTTTTTGTATTTTTTTTTTCACTTTTTTTTTTCCATGTGTGTCCTGCCACGTGTCCGAGGCCCATTGGGCATGACCTGTTGATCGGATTTCAACGAAAAGCCCCCGTTATATACCGTTTAACGGTGATTCCACTCGGGCCTCATGGCCGTTCAACGGGTTCAACGAAGTTGAATAAATCCCATTGCGATTTAAATGGACACACAGCAGGAGGGAGATCGGGGAGTTAAACGGGTGAATGACCGGATCGAGAAAGGTCAATTGAAACGTCAACGATGTGAAGACAAGGTCAATCAAATGCGAGCAATAATTTCTTCTGGGGATATTGATGAGGATGTTGATCACCAAAGTGAAGAAGAAATACTCAGGGATAACGATAACAACACACCTTCCATTGTGGAGGAGGACATCGTGATAGACTACGATGTTAGTGATATTGAGAAGGAGGACGACTTTGACCACGAGCCTTCCTATGATGACAACAGGGACACGAACTCCTACACAACCAATTCCAGCAATGACAACGCTTAGCCAACTCGTCGTGACACGATGAGTATACTCCTGCCCTGACTAACAATTCATATGCTCAATTGATATTTGCGTTGTCTTTGATTCGAACAAGTGTGTCAATTGCATGCTATGGCAGGTATGCTTCTCCAACGGATTCACTGGTATCCGTGCTCAAACAAACGTGGCCTTCGGGTAACTGGGGCACACAATAATCCAACAATTCAAATCAGTATCGGCATAGGTTTTAGTTTCGGTGGCCCGACTGTTTTTTTAGATGGCTCTTTGGTTCGATCTTTTCTCGGCTACGGCGACTTGAGGTACGTTCTGTATTGGTTACCATCTTTCACCTCGGTTCCTATGTGGACATTCGTTTTTTGTGCCCTCGTTCTCTGTGCAAAGCTATGAATCCCCGTCGGCGGCGGCCAAGCGCGACCGAATCCGCGGACGCGGCCAGGCCGCCGACCCCGCGGACGTGCGGCTTTGAAGCCACGTGGCGGCCAGTGGGGAGGGGGGTTGGGGATTCAGGAAGCGCCATGGGGCGGCGCAACCCTAG